ATAATTCTCAAGTAATATATTGAGTGGCATTTATTTTATCTTTTCTTTCTCACGTCTTTTGATCGAGTGATGCGACTATATCCTGAACAGTAGAGGCGGGTATGAATGTTTAAGCCTTACATAATACACGAAATCATCGAATTCCTTATTATGAAAATTTGAACAGCGTCTCAGTAAGCCTATTTGGAATAAAATCGCGCACACGTAATGTATTACGCCTGACAAGACCTTATAGTGAATTGTAGTAAAACATAATTATGCCCGTTATTTATAAAAATACTAGCTGACCCAGTAGACTTCGCAGTGCCTTAATCGATAAAAACAAGACCTAAACTTTTATATAAAATAAACTTAAAACAAACCAAAGGGATCCGTCCGACGGGGGACACATCAAAGGAAAAACAAAATTTGTTATTTTTATTTAATTCCGAGCATTTTCATATTTATTTACCTTTTAAACCTTCTCTGGACTTCCACAAATAATTCAAGACAAAATTAGCCAAATCGGTTCAGCCGTTCTCGAGTTTTAGCGAGACTAACGAACAGCAATTCATTTTTATTTATATAGATGGAATACATAGAATAGATTTTTGTCTTTCTTTTTACTAATAATAGTATTATGAAACAAATTAAGTCAAATTCGATACACCATTTACTTTATCTCATCTCTGTGATATTTATGTTCTGTGCAGGTTTGTATGCCTTTTTTTAAGCGCTACAATGGGTTTTCATTACTTATTTCGATAAATATTTTGGTTTTTATAACTTTTCATGACTCCGAACATTGAAATATATTAAATGAAAAATGCGAAACAGAAATTCTACAGAGTTCCTCCACAATTGAATTGGTGCGATTGACAATAGCTTGCAATTTTGTTCCGATTGTATCATTTCTGGATACAAATGGCCTGCGATATGGACCGTGTTTTATTATTTAGTTGGTATGAACTCAACAACTTGTGAGACCGTTCTTAAGAATAAAAGAAATGGTTTTTAGGCTACAGGGTATATCAGGTCAGTGTTTTTGATGATATTATGTTGTTACATTCACTTTGTGGCACATTAATAAAGTTACGTTTGTTGAATAAATGTAATGTTATGAAATGAACAATTTTGGGCACGGCACAACATTATTACTGCTCTTAGAAGTAACCGTTGTGTAGCTCACAAAACGTCTATAAAAGTTTGGTAAATACTTGGACGAGGTCGGACTGGTAGGCTCTGTGTGAGGGTGCGTGAGGAAATGTTGGAAATTTAATAGTAGAGGCATGACCGCATTATTGGGCGCGTCATATTGAATTGACGCTGACCGATTGCTTCAGCCTTCCGTTCTCATGGACACGGAAAGGACTACTTACAACATTGTTTTCAGTCCTTCGGAGAGGAAGGATTATATTAAGTTTCGACCCCTGCATAATTGATCGTTTTTAGATCATCTTCAGTGGCTCAAAGTTTGTTCACTGTCGATTTGCGGCCGCAAAACATGTTGATGTATGCTTCTACGTCGACATTTCTTTACGGACTCTTTGTATTATTAATGTGTATTTGAAATTATTGGTTTACATCTGTTATAAAAGTTTCATTACAATTAAATAATTTTAATTTAATTAATTCATTGTAATGAGAGATTTAATTAGTAATTTTATATATTAGAATTTGTAAAGAATTAAGTATTAGAGTTTTTAGAATAAAATATTATTTATTTATTAGAAATTTTGTTATAATTAGTAATTATTTTACTAATTAAATTTTACTATTATTAAATCGTATCAGTGATTCAGTTGAGCTTTAATAGTCGTTTATGAAATTGTATTTGTAGTGTGAGAATGAAACTAATTAAAAGTATAACAACTATCCGTAGCTTATGAGCCATTTATATGATTGCATTTTGTATTAAGCCAATAAAGGCAATTTCACAGTACAGCGGACTGGTCGGTTAAAAATCCAATTGTATGCGGGTAGTGAGATCGGGAACCAGCTGTGACCGCATTATATGGGCCGCGGTTATAGTGGTAGTCGGACGCACGGTAAAGGCGGACGAGCGAGTCAGAGGCGGATGGACGGGTCAAACGGGCGCTTGATGAAAAGCCTCTATCCCCGTTTAGCTCATTTACAATGTCCGACTACTTTATTAATATTGGCCTCTCGGTTATTTCCTTCTGGCTTAGTGTACTCGAGTTTATCGAACGCAATAGTTCTAGTTTAGAATGTTGTAATTTTTTTTTTCACTTACCTGCACAGCAAATTTTTTTATTTAATTCGGGCAGGGGCCGAAACTCACATGAGGTGTCCGTGCCTAGACTAGATACGCGAGGTATAGAGAGCTTGACAGTCTGCAAATAGGTTAGAGAATCGTCTGTGTTAAGTGATCACTAGAACTCATGTATATAAAATCGTGAATGTCTTACCTAACTTGAGCGTTCGCCTACTGAACCAACACTGGTTTATTTTAAATAGGAATAAAAACGACCATTTTTTTTTTTTCGCTCAAGTCTTGTATTATTTACAGAAGGGTTCCGTGAAACTATTACCTGAAACTCAACAACTCCGGAAGATTACTTTGAATGAACAAAACCGTTTTGCGGACTGTTTCTCTTGTGTTACTTCGACTAATTAGGAGCCTTGGATCAAAGTAAATTGTTACTATTTATCTTTGTCAAATCAAGGGTACGTGCGCATTGTATTTATAACTAACTTAAATTAATAGGAGCTACCCAGAGGAATGTTCCAAAGTTTATTAATAAACGCGTTTGTGTGCTTGCCGTTGCATGTATTAATCTAGAGGTTATTAGTTCTTGAATGAGCGAATCGCAATTTTTTTTATCGCTTGATATTGAGTGGTTGCCTGATCTCATAGACATCGGAATCATGCCATCTTGATATATGAGATTGAAGTATCAATTATATTGTACAGCATCTGTTCCACTGTTCGTATTCAAACGCGTTAGTGTTTCGACGTAGAAATATACTTTTTTTTATTGCCTTTGAAGGCAGACGAGCACACGGCCCACCTGATGGTGAGTGGTTACCGTCGCCATGGACTTCAGCAATGCCAGGGGCAGAGCCAAGCCGCTGCCTACCGCTTAAGAAGGACATGTTAAAGCGCTCGAGAAACACCGTGGAGGAGAGCTCATTCCATGGCCGGATGGTACGTGGCAAAAAAGACCTCTAGAAACGCACTGTGGATGACCGCAGTGGCTCCAGGTAGTATGGATGAAATCTACTCCGGTGGCGGGCGGTGCGATGGTAAAAACGAGATGACGGTATCATCTCGAATAATTCCTCAGACTTCCTTCTTAAATGCCATATTACTAGTAAAGGCGTGATTTTCAATAGTAACGATATGTTATTGGTCCAATCGTTTTCCTTTCATTAATATTGAGGGTCAGGGGTCTAGTGACCCGGCGTTCCCCTTATTTCGATGCAAAGAGATCATTCGTTCCCGTTTCACGGTTAGAATAGCCTTTATTTTAATGCCAATCGCTTTGGAATGTCTGTAGGCTCCAATCTCCACTAATAACAGACAGACCGCAGTGCTATTATTATTGACGGCTGGTAATAAAAACATAAAAATAAATCATAGTTTCTCTTTAGACACGTTCCTTCAGTTTTCTTAATTGTGACTATTTATCTCTGGTCTTGACTTCGAATCGTTTTCCTTGACATGCTACGGTTACTATTGTGAGCCGCAATATGGTCATAATTTGGCTTCTGAAAGTTTTGATATCGACCTGGCTAGCTCTTAGTCTATCGAAATTGTCTGCATTCCTGTGTTCAATAGCACAGGGAGTTGGGAGAAAGGTGTTTGTCACATTTAAATTAAGTAAATCGTAAATCTAATCTAAAACATCAAAGTAATAAAGTTAAAACGGTTTTCATGGATTGATCTTATGATTCTTTCATTCAGATAATTTAATATCCCAAGTATATAAGTAGATTCGAACGCTAAGTAACAAGTTTCTTAAAATTTATATTTTTTTTTGATATTGTGGATATATTCAAATTAAGTAATCTGATTTAAGATTCTCAGAAGAATCTTGGCTGGGGCAAGTAAAATCATAAACCTTCATCTGGTGTGGCGGCGGATCGAAGTGAGCCCCCAATGACATTTCCACCAGGGCGTGGCAGGTCTTTCTCGATCCAACAGCACTAAGGGAATTAAAATGCTTATATACCTATATAACTTTGCGAAAACACACTGTATACAATTTATAGTATATAGTTGTCGGTATCGTACTCTTACAAACACCTGAAATAATCGGTCCGCACTAGCGAGAGAGACAGCTTACTTCGTCCCACCAGCTGAAAGTACCACGGCGGGCCGATATTCCGCAGTGAAGGTTTTAACATTAACAGTTTTTTGTCTCAAAATCAGCCATCTTCTTATAAAAGTTCTCTGATAATTCTGACAAACTAGTTTGTAGTACATTCATCATGAATTTTGTAAATATTTAAAACAGGAGAATCACACTTCCCAGTAGGCAGACACTAGTAATTATCACAATAAATGATCATTTTCTCAAAAAAACTTTTGTAAATATTCTAAATCAATTTTAATAAATATGAGCGAAAAACTCGTCTGTTTTCTGTGACTATCCGCGGACTAATTTTAATGCAAGCCCCAATTTAAATTCTGAGCAACTTAACAACAAAGAAAGGTCGATTTGATTTCATCTAACAATGGTATTGAACAACCATATTTACAGAATTTTCAAGAGAACGGAAGTAAAATCAGTTCAGTCATATTACTTTAAGGACTCCGTTAAATAACACGAATGTCGATCCGAAAACGTGTTTATTAGCGAACCCTTTATCGCTAACAAGATCCGTCTAACTTTACCAATTCGAGGGTCGACAAATCGAAATCGCTTTTAGCCAAAACAAGTATTAATTTTGTATCGTGCGGATTTGTGCGTCCCGGTACAGGGCGGGCGGCGCGCAGTCTGTCCTCGGCCGAGGAGGACCACCCCCGCCCCGGCCAGTCGCTGCCGCGCCGCCGACGTAGCAACACCTCGCTCATGCAGGCGCTCCTATCACCTTCCTTCATTAAAACCGCGACACAATACGACAAGCCTGAATAACACTTTTCCTCTATCTAACTCCGTGAAACGTGTGAAGCGTTTTACACAACTGACACGTCGAACGACCCCGCGCTGTTTTATTTACAAACGAAAATTGTCGATTCCGGTGTTTAAAAGTAAACACGATTGGTGAAATTTATATTATGTAGTTATGTGAATTATCTCAGTGTGACTTGTTTGAATGCTACGAGGATTCTGAGAATTAAATAACATGAAAACTATTTAATCTAAAGGTAAATGTTTCTTTTTCAAATCAGTGCTTTAGTTTCAATGTTTACATTGCAATTAAATGTCGAATTACATGGATTATTATTTTAAATTTCTGTAGAAGATATTTTTTGCTTTTAATACCGTAGATCTGTTATTTGCGTAATGTTAATTGTATATGTGTCAAAATGTGCATATCCATAGAGTTATCTTACAAAACTATTTATCTTTCTTTGCATGTTTTATATTGTCGAAATAGGTACTTAAAATATACATTTATTAGTCTAATACTGATCTTTATAAGTAATGTTGGTACTTGTAAGATGAATAGGAAGTGGCTTGCATCACATTTAGAATGACTAAGTATTGGTTGTCGGTCATGATAAAGGCTGGTATGGGTAAAGAAGGTAAAGAAGGAAGAAGGCCATCGCTGCTGTTGTACCCATATCAATAGTGTGTCACGGATGGTCAAGAATAGCTGGTCGAGGGAAAAACTTCTCTTTTGTGCTTTCGCCCATAGGAAGCGCTGCCAGCAGTACGAGATGGTACTATCGTCCGTGTTCTATGATCAGACGTTACGAAATCTACGTAAAGTCTATCAGCAACAGCTAGAGACACTCGTGTGCAGTGAGTACCTTGCCATCTTTTTTGTCTTGAGCTCAATTCTGTTCCTAGAATGGCCGTGTCGATGGACTATGGTGATTACTTTATATCAGATGCCATGCAAGCTTGGGTGGTTTCAAATAACAAATGCTTCAGTGTCGATAGTGACAATCGTACTATGATATCTATGAGTAATGTTGATTCTCATTTAATACAAAGTGTTGTTGGTTGTCTTTCCAAACAAGAATTTAAAAAAAAGACGTGTGGCACTCAGGGACTGCCGCGGTAAAGCTATTGCAAAGCATTTTTTATCAACTTATGCAATTACAATTAGACAATAATAATTTAATATTAAAATAATAATAAAAATAAGACCACGCTATATTTATAAACATTAACAAAAGCAAAACATTAACTGTCCCCGTCACACTTATAAGCTAGACCGCGTGATAGAGAGATGGGCAGACTTTTCATGATGCTCATGCAGTGCGACGTCATGCCGCGCGCTTATTCACAAACACTACACCAGCGCAACGTGTGAATGTGTTGAACGCGAGCTACATAGTAGGCGTAGTGGGGGTGTCAGGTTATTTTCGTTACGGAATTTCTTGATTCAGTCGCCGCGCTCAAGGCCCGTGATAGAAGCTATGCAATAGCATAAAAAACTTATTTAAATAACTTAAGTTTTTTGCTTTAGTTGAGAAATTTAATTAGCATATTTCTTCGATCAACGAACGTTATGTATGTATTTAATATAATGTTTCGCGTTTGTCTTGCAGGATTACAGGATGACATAGTCTTATTATTAATCGGTTGATACTATGGATAATAGATTCAACAATAGTGAAAAATTAATATTAAAGCGGAATACAACTGATTTTATTTAAAAAAATGATACATTCGAATCCAAATTAAGCCAAAATATTTTGTCGTATAAAATTTGAAGCAATTTTTTTTGTATCTGTAAACAATCTGTATCTGTATGATATATATTATTTGATTCATAAAGATGTACGTAAAGACTTACCAACAAAATTGTACTACTTTATAACTCCGTAAGCGGTTTGCGTCTGCAAATCTTTTTAAATCACAAAAGCTAGTCGTCAAGATCGCGTGTCGAAGGAGGAAAAGAAAATATCCTGTTGGAATAGCGCAGCTGGTCGGATTTGGCGCCAACTTCGGGCAAATCCGAAATGAAAACACGCCAGTCCCGGGATGTAGGCCATCCTGTCCCCGCCACAAGATAAATTCGGAAAGGATTCGCTCCACACACACATTACCAACTCAATAAGGATTAAAACTTCATTCGGAGGCGAAAGCTTTAAAACTTTAAGGTAAACGTGGTTTATCCCTTTTAATTACGCATATTTACATAGCAAAGATGTATCCGTCTCGTTTTTGAGTATGAAAGAGAATAGAGAGGCTATGCATAATTTTACTTGGCACGTATAACTGAAGAACACTTTTTGTGTTAAGCCTTATAAATATTTCTATGCAAACCTCATCCGGGTCGACCCACTTAAAGTACTCGTGTGTACGGCTACTTACTGAATGAGGAAGATTAGGTTCCTTTGAAATTATTTAATACTTTCTAACGTGGTTGTTTCCTCGGTAACGTATGACGTATGAAGGTATTAGATAGGGAACAATGCCATTTACATTTAGTGTAGGAGAATATTGTTTTTATCTTATACCTTTAAACGAGCAATTCTTGTATATTAATATATATATAATCTGAATCTCGGAAACAGCTCCAAGGATTTTCATAAAAATTAGTATACAGGGGATTTCGGGGGCGATAAAACGATCTAGCTACGATTTATTTTCAGAAAATGTTGTTTTATTCGTGTTTTCAATAATCAACTCTTCCCGACATCTATTGGCGAATAATAATACTATTTTTCTTAATTGAGGGTAACTAACCGCTTTAAAGAAACAACAAGATGGCGTTATCAAAAACAAAACCGCTCGCAAAGCTCGATCATTATCTAGTTATCATTAATTTAACGAACTAGTTGTTCTGAGACAATTAACTAGTAATGTGTTGGAAAAAAGAAACCAGCTATATATTTTCATTTACAGTAGAATGGACGGTCCAATGTTACTGAAAGGCAATTAGCGACACGCGGACAAACATGTATTGGTATGTGTTGTAAACATACACATTTCCATAATTTGTTCAGTCGCTGATCAAAAAATAATTGTTAATATCTTTGAAGTAAAGATTTTATCAATTTCAGTGGTTTACAAGATCCAAGTTGAAATTGATGCTTAGATGGGTAGACGATCTCACGGCCCCTCTGGTGTTAAGTGGTTGTCGGAACCCATAGACATTTACTACAAAAATGCCGCCACCCATCTTGAGACAAAAGTTCTAAGGTCTTGGTTTTAGCAGTACAACGACTGTCCCAGCCTTCAAATCGAAACGCATTACTGCTTCACGGCAGAAATAGGCAGGGTGGTGGTACCGTGCGACCTCACGAGATGTCCCACCACCTACAAAATAATAACCAGAATAATGACTATTTGATAGTAAAATCTCGAAAGCAATATTGTACGAACTCATGGGATCAGCTATGCTCAGATGGGTAGGTAAGCTCACGGGTCAACCTGACAAAATTGCTTACACTAGACCTAGCAAGAGCTGTGCTTTGCTGAATCTACCACTGGATCAGATTTGTAACCCACTGAGGAAATCCGGCGAGATACTCAATGGGTTAATTGGATCAGTGGTAATAGCGTATAAACTTTGCAAGTTTCATTCAAATTAATTAAAAAAGTCGCTCGTCAATGTACTATTAATAGAAATACATTTTATACATAAGTGTATCTGCAGAACTTAATTATACGACATAAAAGGCAGTTTTCTGAACTCGAAAATCAATTTAACAATAGTTCCACACGATACTGAAAACTGTGTAAAATATAGGTCGGTAAATCAACAACTGGAAAGCTCAGTGCATAAATACAGGCGTGTAAAATTGGAGAGGTCAGAAGCATTCGGCAATCGTTGAGTTTAACACGTTGAATTTTGCAGTTGCGTTCCAACAAAGTAAATATATTTGACCGAACCATTCTTGCGTTGAAACATCGACCAAATCATATGCAATCTTAACTGGTTTTCGTTCAGAATTTATTTAAAAAAAATTATATGATCTGTAAGGCCAAAACTGATTGTTATATTTTCAGGACTGTCAGTGAGATGAAACTACAATAAAAATGCTTCAAATAGGAAAATCTTTAGCAATTAGGTTTTGTATGTTGCCAATTTTTTTTTTATTGCTTAGATGGGTATACGACCTCACAGCCCACCTGGTGTTAAGTAGTTACTGGAGCCCATAGACATCTACAACGTAAATGCGCCACCCACCTTGAGATATAAATTCTAAGGTCTCAATTATAGTTACAACGGCTGCCCCACCCTTCAAACCGAAACGCATTACTGCTTCACGGCTGAAATAGGCAGGGTGGTGGTACCTACCCGTGCGGACTCACAAGAGGTCCTACCACCAGTAATTACGCCAATTATAATTTTGCGGGTTTCATTTTTATTACACGATGTTATTCCTTCACCGTGGAAATCAATCGTGAACATTTGTTGAGTACGTATTTCATTAGAAAAATTGGTACCCGCCTGCGGGATTCGAACACCGGTGCATTGCTCAACACGAATGCACCGGACGTCTTATCCGTTAGGCCACGACGACTTCAATGTCACGTTAAGTGCTAGAATAAATGAACCACAACTTAATTGACGTTTCAGCGAACAATGTAATCAACAAACAAACAACAAAGTATGAGTGCAAAGTGAAGAATGTGATCCCTTCATAATTATTGTTAATTAAATGAAAAGTTTTATTATTATTTTTAATTGTCTGTGAAGGTAGACTACCTTACGACTTTTCGAATGGTGAGTGGTCATCGGCATTTTTGGACATGAGTAAGTAATACCAAGTAGCGGTCTACTGCTGAGGGATATTTCGAATCATTTCTTAATTTCAAGTAAAATTAATGTACTGTACAATCTAAAATGTAATCGTAACATAGTTTATGTATAAATCCTCACCAGGAAAAAAATGCGTATTATTATAACGTCTCGTTTTGTAATGTATGTGTCGGCGCAACGTCACTATTGATTTAACTAAAAATAGTTAAAGTTAACTGTTTTCTTAATTTTACGGATGTAAGCAACAGACGCGCATTCGGCCCACCTGATGGTGAGCTACCGACGCCCATGGACTTCAGGCAATGCCAGGGCAGAGCCAAGCCACTGCCTACCGCTCAATACTCTCTGCAAGTCTCGTTTGAAGAAGGACATGTCATAGCGCTCGGGAAACACCGTGGAGGGGAGCTCATTCCAAAGCCGGATGGTACGTGGCAAAAAAGATATCTGGAAACGCACTGTGGTTGAACGCAGTGGCTC